TTTGCACCTGCAGATGGTTAAATCCAGTGTTAGGCTCTATATGGAAGCTCCGTCAGTCAGACAACATCCCCAAGTTACTGCGCTTCCTGTGCCATTCTCAGCAGCTGTGTTACCACTGCCTACCTTGAGCCCCAGGAGTTCATTACAAGGAAGCATCTTTCCAGACCAGTGGATTCTGCTGAAGCCTGCCCTGGCTCATCCCATATTGGCCTTTGTTACTGTCTCTGATCTGTCCCTCTTCCAGGAAGCAGTCACTGGTCCTCAGCTTCTCCCATACACCCAATTGTGACTCCTTGACCCCATCATGGTCCCTGCTCCCCAGCAAGCTAGAGGCATTCCAGGTGAAGAAGACCTTGATTCTGGAGAAAGCATGACACTGAAGTCCAGAATGCTCAGCCAGGCCCCTGACAAACAAGTCAGAATCCAGGGAGAGCAGGGCTGAGTAGGAATTACATTCCTGGAGTCACCAGACTTGGGATCGGGGCTCTTCTCCCACCATTAATGTGGAATGGAAGGGAAGAGCAGCCAAGCCCAGGATCGGGTGATTGGGTTAAAAGACACCCCCTGGCCAGTGAGCCACAGAGCCACACTGAATGAGGAAGGGCGTCTCTGTGGCCACCTGACTGATGAGGGCAGGAATCATGCTATGGAAGCGATGGAAGTCAAGAAGGCATCCTACACTGAAACCATGTTCTGGAGTAAACATTTTACAAACATTTGGGGGCGTTTTTGATGTCTCAGTGAATGAGGTGGGTGATGTTCTCTCCACTGTACAGGTAGGTGAGGCGAGGCATCCAGGCTGTCACAGGCCCTGGTCACCCTTCCGGCCAGCGTCAGAGCCCACCTTCTGTCCCTCTGTACTCCAGATTCATCCTGTACCAGCCTTGATGTCTTTGCAGCCACAGCTCCTCACTCTAGTAATTTCCTTGAGTTATGGATCTGTCAGCATTAAGAGGTTTTCAAATTAGAAGCATTTAAAGTTTTTAGCCCAGCTAAATGCTGCTTTAATTATTTCCCCGATGAAATTGCAAACTCGTAGGGAGAACTAAAACAAGTGTGTATACAAATAACCATGGTGCGCAACGTGGGCAGTGCCCTCCAAAAGGCGCGTGGAAGGAAAGTGCAGGGCAGCTTTAAAGGGGGAGCCCGCACCTGAGCGGGTGGGTCAGCGAAGCCGGAAGAGTCAGATGGATGGCGGGCAAGGGGACCAAGGGGACTCGGACTCTCTGAGGCCCTTTTTCATATGCTTTCGTCCGCTTGATTCTTGCCCAAATTCATCTTACCCTAAGAGAAGGGTCTCTATTTAAAACTTGGGGGCTGAGACAGGAAGATCCTGGGAGAAATTCAGTTGTGCTGGAGTGTATTAAAACAAAATGCACATCTGACAGGCAGCTTGTCAGCTCTGGTTCTCTCTTCCCCAGGCTTCCAGTATTATGTTGTTCAGGTATGGGTCAGGGCTTAGGAGTTTTCTGGATATTTGTTGTAGATGATAAAATAATTAAAACAGCATATAGCTGGGCAAATAACCTTAAATGTTTCCATTTTTAAAGCCTGTTAGAGATAACCGGCGACTCAATGGGTTTGGTTCACAGTCCTCCTACTACTGGAGAGGCAGGAAATAGTTTCTGCTCAGTGAGTAAAGGGCAAAGGGCAGAGCAGCCCTTTCCCAGGACATAAAACAGAGGCCTCGGGGCTCTGAGTGCCCTGTGCCCTCCCTTCTGAAGGGAATCCACATGGGCCAGGAGCCTGATGAGCAGGGCCTTGTAAAGATTTGTGAGCTCCGAGCAGAACATGGTTCTTGTTCCCCTGTGCCACTACATGTGTGACAGACAGGGTGGGGCACAGAGACCAAGTAGGTTAGTGGTTGCCAGGATCTGTGAAGAGGGGAGGATAGGGCAGAATAGGGTGTGATGGTTGCACCACTTTGTGAACATAGTAACAATTATTGAATTGTGTACTCTAAAGGAGTATATTTTTACAGTATATGAGTTACAGCTCAAACTGTTTTTTTTTAATGGTAAGGCGCAACCACGAACCTGGCATTTTACATAGAGAAAAGGAAAAGGAAAGATGTCATTTTGTTATTTGCTTTTATACTCACCCCTTCTCTGAGACCCGTGGCTGTGTCAGACATCTTCCACCAGACCAGGAAGAGTGTTTGCAAAGTAGCAATGAGGAGGGGCAAAGGCAAGGAGCTCAGCCTCCGTTTTCCTTCTCATCCCATGCTGCTGGGAGAAACAAGGCCTCCTAGGAACCTGCGGGCCACGATACTAGAAGATCTGGAGCTCAAGGAGAATAGCTCCAGGAGAACCTGCTTCCAGAGCACAGTGTGCCGTTACTGCCCACTGCATCCAAAGCTGTACATGATACTCCACAAGACTTGAGTCCTTTCCTTTTCTTTTATTTTTGAGATGAAGTCTCCATCACCCAGGCTGGAGTGCAGTGGTGCAATCTCGGCTCACTGCATCCTCTGCCTCTTGGGTTCAAGCGATTCTCCTGCCTCAGCCTTTGAGTAGCTAGGACTACAGGCACCCACCACCACGCCCAGATAATTTTTGTACTTTTAGTAGAGACAGGGTTTCATCATGTTGGCCAGGCTGGACTTGAACTTCTGACCTCAAGTGATCTACTGACCTCAGTCTCCCCAAGTGCTGGGATTATAGGCATGAGCCACCACACCTGGCCAAACTTTTACCTTGTTTCTTTGGATAACATTTTTAAAGGGCCCTCTTAAAAGGGAGATGTGCTCCAGGAGAAGGGATACAATCATTTACTATTTTAATACTATATGAGTTGACCTGAGTATGAGACCTGAGAATTCCCTGGCCCCCATCGCAGGGCATACTACAGAAGTGTAGCTCTTTGCCACTGCAAGCTCAAACTCCTTATGGAATAGGGAGCATGAAGAAGGGCTGGTGCAGGAACTGGGGGCAAGCCTTTTGGGCTCTAGCCCCACAGCACCATCTAGGGGTGGGTGCCTGCGACTCCTGAAGCCCCAGTGTCACAGTGCTCTTTTAGGCCGTCCGTGGATGGCTTAAGGGTTAACCAGCTCAGTGCCCCATTGGTACCCGGGCTCTTGTCCCGTGTCCTGGAAGAATCGGGTCACACATGGACTTGAAGGATGAATGCCGGGGAGTGGGGGGCAGTTATTGAGTGGTGGAGGTGGCTCGTGACGGGATGGATGGGAGCTGGAAGCAGAGGATAGAGTGGAAGATGATCTTCCCCTGGAGTTTGGCTGTCCAGTGGCCGAACTCCTCTCCCACCACCCCCAGGTAAACTCCTGTCAGTGTTCAGACACTCTTCCTCTTCTTTCTCTGCTGGGCTGTTCTGCCATTCTTCTGTTTATCTCTGTCTCCTCATCTGCCTCTGGAGCCTGGGGTTTGGTGTTTATATGGGTATAGGATAGGGGGTGTCATGGGCCGAAAGGCAACTTTTTGGGTGAGAAAACAGGAATACCCATCCCCATTTAGGGCCACAGGTATCCGGGCTTGAGGGTGGGACCTCTGCCAGGCAACTGTCCTCTTCTATCCAGTATTTCCCTGTTGTCTGCCCATATCAAGTAGTTGGACAGTCATGTAAATTACTCCACATGAGGGGTACAGACAGCATATGTACGGAAAGATGGGGTGTGGGTGGCACCTCCCGCTGCCTCAGAAGATGAGAGTGGGGGCTGCCTTTCGGCTGAAGACACAGTGAAAGTGGGGATAGGCTGGACTGACCCTTCAGAGGGGTGTGGAGTGAAAATTCAGAATCTCCCTAGAGTAGGAATTGTGCTGAATTGCTACATGACTGTATGAGGATAGTGTTGAATGAATAACTCCCAAAAATTGAGAGAAGAATCAGTTTCAGGAGAATTAGTATAATAGAATTAGTATGAATTGAGACCACCTTAATGAGAAAGGGACAGACCCTGCCTGGAAATAGCAAATTTGCTCCTTGGAAAGATAGCATTTGTTTAAGTAGAGATCATTTCAGAGGCCAAAGGGTAAACATAAGGCTTTCTTAAAGATTCTGCTCCCACACAGACCAAAACGGCACTCACCTACATAGGCACAGGGGTTTGTAGATGCTCTTAATTATGTGAATTGATGGACATTTTCTTTATAGTTGGCCTGCATTACTATAATCAGAAGAAAAAAATCACAAGCAAAATCTACTTTGGGGAGAAAAATGGTTCCTTCTATACTGATTAAAACGTAAACCATGTTATCTCTCCAGGGATTAGGATACGGACTACTTGTTATTTGTTAATGTACCTATTTCTCCATTTAGAAAGCTGTTTACAATGATCAGTATTCTATAAGAAAACCAACATTTGAAATCAAGGCTGTGCTCCAGGTAAGGCTCCTGCTTCTGAGGAGTGGAGCGCTGTATGCTTGAGCACTGTATTAGTTTGTTCTCATGCTGCTGATAAAGACATAATTGAGACTGGGTGAGTTATAAAGAAAAAGGGCTTTAATGGACTCGCAGTTCCACATGGCTGGGGAGGACTCACAGTCATGGTGGAAGACAAAGGAAGAATGAAGAAACATCTTACATGGCGGCAGGCAAGAGAGAATGAGAACCAAGTAAAAAGAGAAACCCCTTATAAAACCATCAAATCCCATGAGACTTTTCCTCTGCCACCACCCCCATGAATCGATTATCTCCCACTGGGTACCTCCCTCAACACATGAGAATTATGGGTGATACAATTTATGATGAGATTTGGGTGGGGACACAGCCAAACCATACCAGTCAGAAACCTCCTGTTCAGTCCTCTAAGAAATACTTTCAAAACTCACCTTTTTTCCAGCTGAAATTCCAAGAATCACCTGCACACTGAAATTCTTGGAAGGCCCTGGGAAGGACAAAACTCCGCTGGGACTGTTCTTAGCTGCTATGAGAACAACTTTGTGCCAGAGTATTGACCCTGTGGGGCACTGTCTGAGGTCACTCATGGCTCTTGTGTGGCCAAGAGGCAGGACATGTCACCTGACGCCCCTTTGCTTTCCCTCCAGGTGGGCCTACCATGACTTTTTCAACCGGTATCGGGTGCTGGTCAAGAAGCGAGAGCTTGCCAACACAGACAAAAAGGCCATCTGCAGGTCTGTCCTGGAGAACCTCATCAAGGTGAGCCACACAGCCCAGCTCCAGGAGAGGCCTGACCAGGGGCCCTAAAGATTGAGGGGGTGGCATTGTCATCTGCATTTTTTTTTCAGTCTTCATTCTTCTTATTGAATCTATTTCTGGGGCATCAATCCATTGTCCTACATCAGTGACTAGAAAAAATAAAGCAACCCGTTCACCTACCTAGGGCACTTCCCAACATTTTTCGCAGCTCAGCAGGCATAGAAAATGGAACTCTTTGTACAGCTCACTGGGATTTATGATGAGGCTGTTCCTGACTGCAAGCTGCTGGCCCAGGATCTTTGGCTTCTCCAGTTCTCAGGGGCTATGTAGCGCAACCCATATGATACATCTGGGTAAAGGCTCTGATGTGGAGCCCAGGCACAGCCCTGAAGCCAGCAGAGGGGAAAGTGGCTGCTGCATCTAGCTGGTTGCATCACCAGCCTCAGGCCCTCCCCAAGGTACTTGTTGTAAGTAAGGCAATGGATTTTATGTTTTAATTGAAACAACTTGAAATCACACCTGACAGCTGAGACTGGAGAACTATAGAAGCAAAGCTGCTGGGGCCTTTTATGGGGGGCAAATCCTTCAACATTTTCGTGGTGCCAGACATTTCAGGGATGACAGCAGACTGTGATCATTAATGGCTCAATAAAGGTTAAATTATATCAAAAGTCACTTGAACAAGGTGATAAAAATAATTACCTCAGAAATTTTAGTTTTCCAAGTTAGGATTTTGTTAGGAAAATCTGTTCATCTGGAGTAGTTCATCGCCAGATGATCAAGATCTAAGGTCATGTTTTGTTTTGCTCCCAAACCCAGTCCAGACCCCATTCCTCTCAGCCTGAGCTGAAGGCCCAGTGGGTGCATGGCTCTGAGCAGACACAGAGAGGACAGCCAGGCCCAGAGCCCACTCCTGCTAGCTTCACCAGCAGCCTGGCCCATGCCGGGGACTCAGTGACACTCAAGCTGGAAATTGTGCTACCAGCTCAGCCTCAGCTCAGGCAGGACAGCCTTCCCTGTGTGTGGAACCCGACTCCTAGTAACCCAGTAGGGCTTATCCTGTGAAGAATGATGACTCAGCACTTTTCAGGGCCATTTGCCAACATGAAGTGCATTCTTGTGTGTGTGTTTTCCTTGAACTTGGCTCATTCCTTCCTTTCTCATTATGGTCTTCATGCCAGTGAGCAAAATGGGATGGCAGTTGATTTACAAAGAGCTCTGTCATCGTGGGTTTCCCTCCCAGTGCTCTGTCCCAGGCTTGTCCGCAGGCACCCTGCTGGGTCGTCTTTCCTCAACCACAGGGGTGAGCTCAGGGAAGAGCAGATAATTTTAACCTAATGATGTAATTAAGACAGTAATTACAGGTCCAAAACAATCTCATAGTTTTATTTGGGGGTTATTTGCACCCTGTAATTACACATACAACTGTATGGCCATTTGAGGATAATCTTTTAAAAATGTCGAGCAGATCAGGTCATTCCCTTGCTCAAAGTTCGCCTGTGGCTCTCACCCCAATTTTATTTGGCAGCCTATGAGGCCTTTGGTGATTGGTTCCTCCCATTACTCACCTTCAGGTCCCCCAACTAGCCATCCTGGCTCTCCTGATCCTCAGATATACCCAGCAGTTGCCGCCACCAGACATATGTATCTGCTCTGCCCTTCTCCTGGAACGTTCCTCCTTCCTTTTCCATGGCTGCCTCCTTCCGCTCATTAGGTCTTTGCTCAGCTGTCACCTCCACAGAGCCGCCTTCCTCCAGCATCCTTTCTGAACATTCCATCCCACCCCCAGCCCCTAGTTTGTTTTCTTCATAATCCTCACCATTCTCTGAAAACAGAAGGCATCTTTATTTGCTTGTCTATCTACCCTCACCATGATGTCAGTTCCCTGAAGGCAGACGTCTTGTTCACTGCCATGTTCTAGAGTCTGGCCTGTAGTAGGGCCTTGGGGTCTGTTAAGCAAATGCTGAAACTTTGTGTCTATCTACAGAGAGGGGTGCGTGAAGTCTGGCCAGGGAATTCTGCACTGGATGAATGAGGGTGGTATGGGGCATGTTATTTCTCTGCTCACTGGTGACCAACCAGGTCCCCTCCCTGCCTTGTAAAGGATCCCGACAAGTTCCAGTTTGGCCGCACCAAGATCTTCTTCCGAGCTGGCCAGGTGGCCTACCTGGAGAAGCTGCGGGCTGACAAGTTCCGGACAGCCACCATCATGATCCAGAAAACTGTCCGAGGGTGGCTGCAGAAGGTGAAATACCGCAGGCTGAAGGGGGCTACCTTAACCCTGCAGAGGTACTGCCGAGGGTACCTGGCCCGCAGGTGAGCCAAGCCAGGGCAGCTCAGGGCAGCAGAGCATGGCAGGGAGGATGGGGGTCTGCCTCTCTCAACTACTTGGTTTCTCTCTTCCTCTGTGCCGAGAGTGGTTCCTGGTGGGGCCATGTCTACGTCTTGGCTTTTTTCTGGCAGCTGGGTCACCCCTCTAGCCAATGCCCTTCTCACCTTGGGGTAGCTCTAGTTCCCACGTCTCCTGGTTTCCCCAGTCTCCCTGCATCCTACCAGCACTAGAACCAGCTGGTTTTGCCACACATTTCCCTTTTGCCTAAACCCCAAAGTCAAAAACTAATTACTTTTAGGAAAAAAGACCCATACAGCCTGGCACAGTTAACCTGCACTTGGCCTCATTATTTATCCCACAGATTTCAGAATGCCTCAGAGTTGAGCAATTAGGACTGCAAAGGTCCTGGGAGGCCCCTATTGTGAGTTACTGCACAGAGCCAGGATGGAGAGAGTGTGACTTGTCTAAAGATGAGTGGCTACCTAGGGGTGGAGCCAGGATGCCAATCAGCCTCCCCTGCCCGCCCCCAGCTCCACCCAGAGCAGAATAAACCAGTGCAGGGTTCCTTCCTCACACATGTCACTGGGCTGATGAGGCACTAAAGCAGCGGGAGTGTGTCAGCCAATACAGGCTGAAGACATAGCCTGCCATCTGACCCTACCCTCAGTGGTCAGGTTTTGGGCCCAGGCCTGGTTCAAGTCCAGTGCCATCTCCAGAAAGGAAAATCTGTGGAGAAGTGACAATAATTGCCACAAAGTCTTGTGTCTGGAGGCCAAACAGAGAGCTAGACTAGGGAATCAGATGCATTTCAGCAAACAGGTGATGCATGGGCTGAGTGGGTCACCTCCTCCTTTGAGGCTTTACTGAATGATTTCCAAGGTCCTTTCTGGCATTTCACACTGAGCCTCTAATTGAGCACTTGCTACAGGCCTGGCAGCAAACAAGACCTTTCAGAAGGGGAGAAAGTGTTAGACTGGCTTTCTTATTTAGAGGATGAGGTAGGAAGGCAGAAGGGCAAGAGAGGAGAGGAAATGGCCACATCCAGTACATCCGGAGCAGAAAGGGTTGAGGAGATAAAGAAAACAGAGAGGGATTGGTATGGGCCTGAGAAGGTGTTAGTCACTCTGCAAATACTTACCTGGTGCCTGCTCTGTCAGAGGCGGTGGGTCCAGGATGATGGAGACACAGCCCCTGGAATCTCCAAGCCTGGGGAGGTACAAAGAGAGGACAGGCAGCAGTGTGGACGCATGATGGAGAGTGCTGCTGGTGAAGCAGCTGAGGACTGCCCAGGCGCAGTGAGGTAGAAGAGTGATCTGAGAAGGATCACAGAGGAGGCCAGACTGACTGAGTTTGAAGCTTGTGGGAAGCCTTTCAGGATCATAAGGAAAAAAACGAATACTGCCTTTCTATCCTCAGCGTCACATGCCTGAGGCATTCGCTGCATTTGTTAAGGGTGAAGAAAGTTGGCTTGCCCTGGAGTGTCCAGGTAGGGCCTCAGAAGGAGGGTTTACATTTGCAGATGTCTCTGGGTGCTCTGCATCAATACGGTCAGTACTGTCTCCCTGACGCTGCCAGTTTCCTCTTGCTCCCCAGGCTGGCTGAGCACCTGCGGAGGACCAGAGCAGCCGTGGTGCTCCAGAAATACTACCGCATGCAGAGGGCCCGCCAGGCCTACCAGAGGATCCGCAGGGCTGCCATCATCATCCAGGCCTTCACTCGGGCCATGTTTGTGCGGAGAGCCTACCGCCAGGTGAGTAGCCACCCTGAGGGCCTCGCAGCTGCAGATGCAGAACTAAAGCGGCAACAGATGAATTACTGCCAACACGAACCTTTGTCAAGCACTCCCAACCTTTCTCTAAATGCTTGCACATCTCTGCTCTCACCAAATCCTTTCTGAAGTCCCACGAGGTAGGAAGGGTGTGCATACTGTTGTCTTAGTCCATGAAGTGTTGCTGTAACAATATCAGAGGCTGGGTGATTTATGAAGAAAAGAGGGCTTATTTGGCTCACAGTTCTGGTGGCTGAAAAGTTCACAGTTGAACATCTGCTTCTGGTGAGGGCCTCAGGCTGCTTCCACTCACAGCAGGAGGCAGAAACCAGTGTGTGAAGAGATCTCATGGTGAGAGAGGAGGCACAAAAGTGGCTCTTTTAACAAGCAGCTCTAGACCAGGCGTAGTGGCTCACACCTGTAATCCCAGCACTTTGGGAGGCCAAAGTGGGCAGATCATGAGGTCAGGAGTTTGAGACCAGCCTGGCCAACGTAGTGAAACCCTGTCTCTACTAAAAATACAAAAATTAGCTGTGCGTGGTGGCGGGCCTCTGTAATCCCAGCTACTTAGGAGGCTGAGGCAGGACAACTGTTTGAACCTGGGATGTAGAGGTTGCAGTGAGCCGGGATCGTGCCATTGCACTTCAGCCCAGGCGATGGTGTGAGACTTCATCTCAAAACCAAAAACAAAAAACAAGGATCTCTAATGGGAACCAACAGTGAGGACTCACCCTTGAAGAAGGGCATTTATTTGTTCATGAGGGATCTGCCCCTGTTACCCAAACATCTCCCATTAGACTCCATATCCAACATAGGGGATCAGATTTTAACATGACTTTTGAAGGGGCCCAGCATCCAACCATGGCAATTTTAATACCCCTTCTGATACCTGAGTTGCTCAGAGAAGCCAAGTCACCTACCCGAGGGCCCAGGCCAGCCAACAGCAGGACCAGGTGACCCATCTAGGGCTCATTCAGACTTGAGAGCAGGCAGTGGTATTGGGCATCATCAGGTCTAACCCCTCCATTTAACAGCTCAGAAGCTTGAAGCCCAGTATGGTGAGGTCAGGAGGGAGACCCTGACATCTTCCCTGCCAGGCTCTTGCTCTTTGTGTCGTTCCAATGAAGCCAAAACTCTTGGTTAGGGAGCCCCAAATCAGGACACATCTGTTCAACCAGGTAACACCAACACATCTGAAGCACAGAGCTGACTTGAAAGACAAATTGGAAGTAAATGTCTAAAATGGTTTTCTTTTTCATTAAATGAACATCTGCCTCTTCTGTGATCACAGGTGTGATTTTCTAAATAATAAAACTAAAGTGCTAAATTGAGAATAATAAAAATGGGGTACCCCTGGTGTAATAACATGTGGAGAGACCCAGGCCAGTGGGATAAGGTTCTGCGAGTATTCTTGGGTGATGGGTGGCGTCGGTGTGCTGCTGCTGTGGAATGGGGTGGGTGATGTTTGGGAGGCACCCAGCAGGGGCAGCACATGCGAAGAGTGAGCACCGATGTGGCTCCCCGCTCTGTCACTCGTGGCTGTGGCACTGTTCATCGCTCAGCCTGTTTTCTTGTTTATTCATTATTCCACAAACATTTATTTTGCCAGATATTAGGGTGAGCACACTGATGATGCTTTCCTTTCCTGAGTGGTTTTTTAACTTGGCAGAAAAAAAAAAAAACCCAGTGAGTTACACACCAAGTTTGTAATTATAAGCCATTAGCCTGCTGTGGATACTCACTGAAGGATCTCACTTCGAGCTCAGTGCTACCAGGTGGGGACTGCCACCTGATAATGCAGGGAGAGCAAGTGGATGATCATTAGGTCCCTACAACCTGTGGTTTTCAGACTGGTTTCCTAACCCATAAAAGAAAAACTAAAAGCTGAAAAGAGTTTGACAGCTGATTCCCTGTGGATATGTGGCTGCAGATCCTCACTAAAATGTGTTATAAAGCCACCACCAAAGCCTTAAATCTTAGGGGCCACATTCTCTGTGTAGTTCCTAGAACCGAGGCTGCCCTGGGGTCTCCCCTTCACAGGCAGTGATATATGCTTCCTTAATTCCTGTCCTGCAGTGCAAACCCACAAGGTGTGTATCCTTGTCTCCTGCCAGGTCCTCATGGAGCACAAGGCCACCATCATCCAGAAGCATGTGCGGGGCTGGATGGCACACAGGCACTTCCAGCGGCTGCGGGATGCAGCCATTGTCATCCAGTGTGCCTTCCGGATGCTCAAGGCCAGGCAGGAGCTGAAGGCCCTCAGGATCGAGGCCCGCTCTGCAGAGCATCTGAAACGCCTCAACGTGGGCATGGAGAACAAGGTTGTCCAGCTACAGCGGAAGATCGACGAGCAGGTCAGTGTCTGCAGCTCCCCACCCAGGTGTCAGGGCATGTTTGAGAGAGCCCACAGCTTCCTTGGGGAACAGCACGTGCCAAAGACCTGAGGGAGCACAGATGTCCTCAGGCAACAGCAGATACTAACTGTGGCAGGCAGATTAATGGCCCCTAAAGATATCCTCAGCCCTGGGATCTGTGAGTGTGTTACCTTATATGGCAAGAAGGACATTGCAGATGCAATTAAATTAAGAACTGTAGGATAGGAAGAGTATCTTGGATGAGCCAGGTGGGCTTGATATAATCACAGGTCCTCCTAAGAAAGAGGCTGGAAGGTCAGGTTCAGAGGAGAAGTGATAAGAGAATCAGAGGTGGGAGGGTTGCAGGCTCTGAGCCAAGGGTTGCAGGCAGCCTTGAGATGCCAGAGAAGACAAAGATGTGGACTCTTCCCTAAAATGTCCAGAAAGCACGCAGCCCTGCAGACCCCTTCAGACTCCCAACCTCCAGAGCTGTAAGATAATGATTTATGCTATTTTGAGTCATAGCTTGGTGGTAACTTGTTGCAGTAGCAATAGGAAACTGACATACTAGCCTAGGGTGCTGGTGTTTTGCACTTGCAGGGGTGGCATGGGGTAATGGCAGCAGCAGCTGGTGTGCACAGAGGGCTTGCTGTGCCAGGCAAGGGGCTGATGCTTTGTCTGGAATAGCGGCCCTCCTAAGGCAAGTGTTACCATCCCCCTTTATGTACAGTTGAGGACACTGGAAGGGCACACGCATCCTAAAGTCACACAGGTGGCAGTGGCAGGGCCAAGGCTTGAACCCCAGCTGTCTGGCTCCAGGGCCCACACTCTGCATCACCTTGCCCTTATTCCTCTCTTTCTGCCTGTCTGCTTCTTTTGGAAAGAGCATTTGCTTTGGAACTAAGAATTCAGTTCTGCTTAAAAATTGAGCAACTACATAACTACTCTGAGCCTCTTTTCTTATCTGTAAAATGGGGCTGACAGGGCTGGAAGAAGATGAATGGCCTAATGTATATGCAGGGCCTGGGATGTAGTAGGAGAGACCTGGGAAGTGGTTAGCACTCTGACTTTTAAGCTTTGCCCTCTTTCTGCCCTGGCTGCCTTCTTATGTCAGCCAGTCACAGGAATAATAAGCCATTGATTAAATCCCTGCAGGGGGTTGGATACTGCACAAGGTGGTACAAGAGATTCGGGATGAGCACAGGACCCTCGGCTCTTTCTGTCTGGTGGAAAAGACAAGGCTCACACATGTACGTGCACAAACCCAGGCACCCACTTTTTGGTGGCCTCTGTGGCCAGTCCTCCTTCCCTTCAGAAGACCTTTAGTGGATACTTGGCTGTTTCAGGTGGTTCATTGGGCTTGCTGGACAGAGGATGGCTGTGACATACATCGCATGCTGTATCATAAGGGAGGAAATTTTATACCAACAGGGCAAACAGCATTGATCCTCCTGAGGATTTTTGAAGCATCCACCATGTGCCAACCTCTGCGATATGTGTTTTGTGTTCACTCTTATTTGATCTTCACACAATCTTATGAGGTTGTTTTGTATATGAGGAAATGGTGAGCCAGGAACATCAAGTACCTTGCCAAGGCCACAGAAAGAAAGTGCTGGGACCAGGATTCCACCCCAGCTCTGATCCCATGGCCATAATGAGGGCGGTCCTGGTTTTTTAAACCCAAACATTACTGAAGAGTTTCAATCCTTTCCCATGTATGCCCACTGCTGCGATTTTCTCCCAGAGTGGAATGGAGGTCACTGTGACTTTGTGCATGCAAGATGTAGAGGTGACCGCAGAACCAGGCTTCTGAGGTGCCCCCGAGGGTGCCTTCTAGGGAAGGAAAGGACATGAAGAGTGTGCATGGTGTGAAGAAAAAGAGAATTTTAGAGTTGGTATAGCCTTGGAAGTCATTTGGTTTTAATGTATTTATTCTATACTGGACATTTTTGAAGCTTCTCATGACCCAGTAGGGCAGGGAAAAAAGGCATTTTACACAGCTAGCAATAGAATATCTCTGTTTCCCTGTTCTTGCAAAAGACAAGACCTTCTGAGAAGAGATTGTCACTGGCTGTTTCTCTGTGTGAGTTCTACAGGGGTCCTTGTTTGGCTTGGCTCCTTATTGGGGAAACAAGGCAGAAAGCCCAGTAACACGGTGAGGACCTTGGTATTTGCCCCTGGTCAGCCTGCTGTGATATATACCGATCAGGAAGGAGGGCTCATCCACTCAGAGGGACAGGAGTACAAAGAGAAAGGTCTGGTGTCTGGCACTGGCCCTTTGAGAACACAAGCACAAAGCATGCCAAGGTGGTGGTGGTTATTGTGGCTGTTGACAAGAAGACAAGACTTGCTTAGTCAAATGTTCTGAGTTAACTTTCCAGCCAGAGTGCAGCCTCAGGGATGAGGGGGCATTGACCATTGCATCATGCCGGGAGCTCTGTGTACATGCCAGCTCCCCCAGCCTTGGTTTCCAGCCATAGGGATCTGCATTGGCATTGCTGATCTCTAAAGTTAACTTGAGAGGATAAAAATAAATCTAGTATTTTGCAATCCACGTGCTTGAAAAATCAAAAGCAGATTTAAACGGCCTATTTAAAAAAAAAAAAAAAAAGGCTTTTTGCCTTAAGCTTCCTGCTTGGCAAACATCTGTGAGTGGTGGCAGGTGTTAGATACCCTGGGCAGGATGCCCTGTGTGTAGAGAGTGATCAGAAAAGGTGGGAGGGGTGGATAAGTTCTTGCTTTCTTGCACCCTTGCTCACACTGCCTGAATAGACACCCTATGCTCTCCTCATGTGTTAACTTATTTAATCCCCACTAGAACCCTAGGAGATAAATATTAATATCATTCCCATTTTAAGGATGAAAAAACTGAGGCAGACAGGTTAAGTAGCCTGCCTGAGGTCATATAGCTAGTAAGTAGCATGGCTGGGATTGAAACTGGGCAGGCTGGTTTCAGGGTATGTTCTGCCACCTCTGACAAAACTATAAGATCTCTAGCTTTTGAGAGACTCTTGGAACATGTCAGGAGAACCCCTCAGTCCAAGGGAGATGCTTAGCCTTAGTTTGGGTTCATGCTTATACAGACAGCATTGTCCTTGGGACTAGCTGGCATTTAATAGTTGGGAGTGTGACCCAGCGTCAAATAACATGCTTGACACTCTTGCAAGAGGAACCATTGACGTAATCTCCATAGAGCTCTATATAGGGGCTTATTTCATTGCAGTCTCTTAGCAGATGGGGCCAGCTGTTTGCAAGTGAATAATGTTTTTCTGTTGTTGTTCGTTTGTTTTTCCCTATAATTCCTGGAGATAATTCAGGCAGTGGTTCTCTCGGCACACAAGGTTTTTAAGCCAGAAGGGGAGAATCTGCGAACACCAGGGTCACCACAGGTGAAGGTGTCCCAAGGTATTTGTCAGAACAGCACAGGGAGTGGACAGAGTCCCCACTGGACAGAGGCCTGGGTTCTGTCTCAGTTATATTCACAACCAGAGCTGATAGCTTGGAAATGATTGGGCCTTGAGTTCTTCCAAGGTGATTCACCTGAGATCTCGAATGTAACATCTAGCTCAAAAATTCACTGATACCATGATCTGGCTACAGTAGTGTTCCTATCCCCAGACCGTACTCCAGAATCTCCTCGGGAGCTTTTTTCTAAAAAAGTATCCTCACTGCCAAGAAATCAGTAAGGAAGGAAACAAAGACAAAACGAGGGTAAGGTTAGCACCCAAAATTCACATCCTAAGGCCTTGTACACCCACCTGGAAAGAAAAGATGCAAATTTGGCACCAAGTTTCCAGGCAAACAGTAACAGGAAGGAAACAGAGTGACTTGAGAGTCCTTAAGAGAAAAGAAACAAGCAGCTCAAGAGGATTTGGAACTGTCCATGGTGCTGACATGTTTGTCCTTTGGCCTTTCATACTCTGTGACGTGACAAACCACATCCTTCACCATATCCTGCAGTGATATATACAGTGCTGGTTCTTGAGACCATTTCTTACAGTGTCCCTGGGATAGGCTGTGGCATGACATCATTCAGCAAAACGATGTAGCCCATGAACTCAGCTCTCTGCCAGTCTGGCTTTAGTCAAGCATGCATATAGAGTTGGCCAGTTTAACTTACAATTTATTTTTAATGAGAGTAAAGTTCCTTAGACACTTAAGAGTATAAGGTTATCCTTAAATATATTTTATATAAGAAATATGGCACAAATATGTGGAGACAGTAGACTTTTAAATCAGTCTGATTCCATATACTTAGCAGTCACTTTGTAAATATGTTATATTTGTTATATATAATCATGCATATATATATATGTATCTACATATATATATATATACACGCACACATATATATATATCCTATACAGTCATGCATTAACAGCAGGGATATCTTCTGAGAGATGCATTGTTAAGCAAGTTTGTAGTTGTGTGACCATCATAAAAGGCACTTACACAAACCTAGATGGTGTAGCCTACTACACACCTAGGCTATGTGGTATAGCCTATGATTCCTAAGCTACAAACTGGCACAGCATGTTACTGTACTGAATACTGTACACAAGTGTAAGACAATGGTAAGTATTTCTGTATCTAAACATAGAGAATGGATAATAAAAATATGGTATAAAAGATGGGACACCTGTATAGAGCACTTACCATGAATGGAGCTTGCAGGCCTGAAAGTTATGTGGGGTGAGTGAATGTGAAGGCCCACATTACTGTCCACTCCTGTAGACTTTATAAACCATGCACTTAGGCTACACTAAGCTTACTAGAAAATTGTTTTTCTTCAGTAATTAACCTCGGATTACTGTAATGTTTTTACTTTATAAATGTAATATTTTTAACTTTTGGCTCTTTTGTAATGCTTAGCTTAAAACACAAATGTACAACTGTACAAAAATATTTTCTTTCTTGATATTCTGTAAGCATTTTTCCATTTTTGAAATTTATTTTGGGGATACCCTATTCTTCATGATGTGCTTATTTCACATTGCATATCTATCAAAACATCTTATGTACCCCATAAATATGCACACCTATTATATACCCAGAAAAATTAAAAATAAAATTATTTTATTTTTTAGTTTTTTTGTTAAAAACTAAGACACAGACACATGCATTAGCCTAGTCCTACACAAGGTCAAGACTGCCTTCCATCTCCATATCTTGTTCCACTGGAAGGTCTTTAGGGCAGTAATGTGGCAGGGAGGGTTTCTGGGGTCTTCAAGGGGTGGGCGCCCCATGCCCTGCCCTCTGCCAGGTTTGGCTGCACAACCATGACACCTATAGGTGCAAGGATGAGCCTTTTGGGGTCTGCCTTTCTGAAGTTAAATGTCCAGAACACAAAACGCACCTCCATGGGCCCCTAGTGACCATATCTGGATGCCCACGACAAGACATAAGGAGCTCCCCACCCACACCCCAGACAGCCAGAGACTCAGGCATCTCTCCAGGGTTCTCCACAGAGAATCTGAACAATGAAGATAGCTGATGTTTACTGAGCCTCTAGCAAAGTACTTTCTCTAATCCCACCCTCTGAGGTAGGAGTTACTGTTATATCCCTGCTTTGCACATGAAGACACAGCACAGAAATGTTGGATGACTAGGTCAGATATACACAGCTGATCAAGGACAGAGCTGGAATCTGAGCACAGGTCTGTCCAGCTCCAGCCACTCAACTCCCTGACATGCCTGAGCCAAGTCTCAGACAGTGTCAAGATCAATGCAGCTGGGCCTCCTGGATATCATACTGCACATTAGAGCGCTGGGGTGCCATCTTTGTCAATAGCAAGATAGGATGTCCCTCCTGCCACCATGTGTGCGTCTCTTCATGCCCCAACAAGCTCTACCTAGAGACCCCCTGCCCAGTTATCCTCCTGCTCCTAGCATCTGACCCAGGCTGTTCCATCTAGAGAGAGCAGCTGGGCTGAACCTCATGTCCAGCCCAGAGCAGAGAAGAAGTCAGAGGGTGGCTAGTCCAGCGTGTGTTCCCGCCCTGTGCCCCGCTCCCCCGTGTAGAGATCCTCACCCTCCAGTGGAGACCCAGACTGGAGTGGATAATACAGACACACATTGGGTTTGGTTTTTTGCTTGTTTGTTTTGAGTTGGAGTTTCTCTTCATTGCCCAGGCTGGGGTGCAATGGCGCAATCTTGGCTCACTGCAAACTCTGTCTCCTGGGTTCAAGCATTTCTCCTGCCTCAGCCTCCTGAGTAGCCGGGACTGCAGGCGGCCACCACCACACCCAGCTAACTTTTGTATTTTTAGTAGAGATGAGGTTTCACCGTGTTGGCTAGACTGGTCTCAAACTCTGACCTCAGGTGATCCGTCCGCCTCAGCCCACCAAAGTGCTGGGATTATAGGCATGAGCCACCACAGCCGGCCGGGTTTTTAAATAGAATCTGATTGATTGGGTTTCTTCTTCGTGATGCCTTAGAGCAAAGCTGACAGGCAGACCAGGCTTGAAAATGTGTCAGGTTGTAACCGGGAGATTCCCACAGAGTGCTGGGGGGTGGGTAGTGTGTCTCATTCTGTTGGTTGGTGCAGAAAATGGACTGCTGGCTTGTGCATTGATGTGCTGGTCACAGCCACAAGGCCCCACAGCATATGTGGCATTTTACTGGGTCCCAGAAATTTTCTTTTGCTGCTCCTCACTGCTTTCTGTGAAGTTTAGTTTCTTATATGAATTCATCATTGATTCCTGATGCTTCAGCTTACCAGTGTTTTGGCCGCTAGCTCTATTCTGCCTGGTGGTCCTGTGGAGCAGAGCAATGAAGAATAATCAATGATTTCTGTTGCCTGCTTGGTGATTTGGAGAACCCTATTTCTTCCTCTCCACTTTTCCCACTGACCACTGTCAGCTGATGCTCCCAACTCTTGTGGTGCTGATTTCTGCCCATAATTTACAGCAGCACTTGATATCAGCACTAGCTTCTTAGGGCTCTGGGCATGGAGGATTCTTCACACCTGTTTGTTGCCTGAGTGGGCTGGAATTAGGTACCCCATCTGCAGAAGCATGGTGTGGGCAGGGTAGAGCAGGGCATCAGTTCCCTGAAGTTATGGCTGACAGGTGGTGAGGGAGATTCCAAGGCCCCATGGAGAGCCTCCTTGGAATAAGGGATGCTGAAGGGGTCCTTTGTCTCAGAGCCAGCGATTAGGTTGCAGTTCTTTGTGCTGGCGAGTCCACAGGCAGGAGGAATCTGTATGAAAGGGAAACCTAAAAAATGAAGGCTGAGACCCAGGGAGCCAGCTTCATTGTTCCTGCAACTTAAAAATAAGGTGTAGGATCCGCCCAGCCAGACATAGAGCTACGGACTAGCAGGCAGCTTCCAGCTCTGCACAGGCTCACGAAAGCTCCTTGAACTCTTTGAATGTCAGTGTTGCTGTTCTGTGTTTTCCTCTATTTCTGTAGGTTCACAGTAGTGTTTTGTTAGGAAGATGCCAGGCAAGCACTTGAGCGTGCAGTGATTGTGAAACTTAATCTCACCTTAGAAGTTCCTTTTTTGATTGCCTCCCTGCTTTTTTCCTGGTAAAATAACCCTTTCCCCCCCAACCCCTTCTTCTCCCTTCTCCTTGTTTGCTGATGTTCTCCACAGAACAAAGAGTTCAAGACATTGTCAGAGCAGCTGTCCATGACCACGTCCACATATACCATGGAGGTGGAACGGCTGAAGAAGGAGCTGGAGCACTACCAGCAGAGCCCAGGTGAGGACAGCAGCCCGAGGCTGCAGGAGGAGGTGGAGAGCCTGCGCACAGAGCTGCAGAGGGCCCACTCAGAGCGCAAGATCCTGGAAGATGCCCACAGCAGGGAAAAGGATGAGCTGAGGAAGGTATGCTCGGGCCAGAGGGGCAGGCACTGGCAAGCAGAGTGGGTGGGCACATGGAGCCACCCCTCAGAGACCACTGCTGCTTTAAGTAGTAAAACTGTCATGGACTTGGGCTTGTGTCCACAGACTGACCATTCATTTTGTGTCTAGACAGAAAGTGGCATGCTTTGGAGAAACCCACACAAGCATGACTGTGCTTCGGCTGTTAGCTGAACACTGTGGCATCCCCTGGGAGGGGCACATAGTATCTGCCTGCCAGCATTGTTTTTATGGTCTAGAGTTAGGCTCAGGGCTGGCTCTGTGGCCTGTATCCTTGGCAAGAAAGCCATGACAGAGGCTGGGGCTGCTCTTGATGTTGCCTGCAGGGGTGGGGCAGCCTCTGAGCACCCCTGCCGATGATGCATCATTGTGCTTTAGCGGATGTGCCTCACCTTTGAACACTGAAAGTCTCAGCCTGTCATACCCACTCTGATGGGCTTATTTCTTACACCATGAAGTAGAACCTCCTGAGCTTTGCCCCAACCCTGAACACCAGGGCACAGAGATTCCCTGTTCCACTGCCAAGATAACTGTTCCAGCCAGGGAAGTCCCAAGGGCCCCTGGAGAGCCCCCTACAGGCTTGGGTCATTGGTGTTCTGCCTTCCACCTGCCACCCCCATCTCTACAAGCCACAGGGAAAATAGCATGTTGCTCACTTATTCAATGTCTGTCCATCAGTGGGGAGTCGCAGTGGGTGGGAATCTAAGAGGGAGAGATGCAGTGTTCAGGGTGTTGGAGTAACATTTTCAAAACTGGGACAGGCTGGATGCTGCTGCAGGAAGAGCCCTGGGGTAGACAGGGGAGTTCCCAGACTCCCATCCCCGCTCTGACATTCCCAAGGATGTGCAGAAAGCCTCACCGGTCTTAATTCCCTCATCTGTGTGTATATTTGTAAAAGTTGGTTCAGATCATCTCCAAGCCCCCTTCTGGACTTGCACCTGGCCACCTCCATGAGATTGTGTTTAGCTCCCGGAAGGAACAGAGGCCCTCATCCCTATGTGGGAGTCTTTCTTTCTTCTATTTCCCACTGCCTTTCCTGGCTTGAGCCCTCACACACATCTGAGGAACATGCAGACACCTGTGGAGGTGAGAGCCTACAGTGCCGGCACGGGCTGGGCTTGCGTAGATCTTCCCATCTTGGGCATCAGCACCATCAGCTCCTGCCTTCACCCAGACCCCAGGGATCTCCAGGGGCCAGAGGTGGGATTTAGGTGTGGGAATTAGGGAAAGAAGAAAGTCAGATGCAGGCTTCGCATAAAAGGCCACCCTCCTGATGTGTTGCTTTGAGGTACCATGAGACCCTCTGCCCAGACAAGTCACCTGCCAGCCTGCCCACCTCGAGGAATAAAGTGGATTCCTTCTTTAGGATAAGGCATGTGTTGCTTGGAAACACTGTTAAATGTGGCTACAGGCCTGTAACCTACAAATCCACACTGGAATTCTGAAATTCCACACTTATGGTTTGTCTAACCTTGGGAGCAGATGAATGGGATGGTAATCTTTCTATGTGAATAAAAACCAGAAGGTGAGATCTAAAGCCAGAAAGAAAGGATCAAGAATAGAACTAGAACTCCAGAGATTAGTGATCCTGGGAGAAAGGAACATCCTCCGCATGTGTGCCCCAGACAGATCAGACACCTGCAAAGTCTGTTTACCCAGCAGATCCACAAAATCAAGTCTCACCTATCTCTGCCCCAACAGATAGCACTTGACTCATCAGCTCCCCAGCCCCTGGCCCTGCTTCCCACTAAAAATGCTACGACTTGGGGACTTCAGCACTCTAAAACCCCAAGTCTCCATCAGAAGGAGTGCATGTGTAATATGAAAACCTTTGTTGGAAGAGCAAAACAGAAGCAGACTCCCTCCTCCTCTCCTTAAAAAAAAAAAATTGCTACTCTTCCCTAGCAATAATATACTGGCCTAGGTCTTAAAGAAAATTAGAACTTGGAATTGGTAACAAAACATTAAGAATGCTGCAAGGAGGGGAATGCTAGTAGAAGACTAGTGCAAAAGCCCCTTCCCTACCCCAATGTAAGCAAATCCGAACTTAGTAACACTCAGAAACCAACAGGAGATGACTCATGAAGTGGCATGTCCACCTCTTTCCTGGAAAAGAAAAAGCGGAAGCAAACATTCTTTAGGATCTTCAGAATCTTTTTGTGGTGGTAGTTGGGGGTAGGTAGACAAACTGGCTGGCTTTTTTTGTTTTGTCTTCTGCACCTCCTCAGGGTATAGTATTTATCCAAGGCACTGTGTCAATCTCAATAAATGCTGAGTCATCAAACAATCGGTTTCCTCCTGGGCTTGAGCCGGAGCCTGCTCTGCGTTGAGCGAGATTGATGAGACCAGCCAAGCACAGTGAGGGGGCCGACTGCTAGTAGACTTTTAATTAATGAGTTTGATATTTCCATCAGCAAAGGCAGGGAGTGTTGTATTGGATCTGCTATCCTGGAAAACTCTGGGCTTGCCATCTCTGACGATATTAATTGGCAGGCCATGTGGCTGCTCTGCCTTGTCCTGTCTCCCAGGGGGCAGGAATTCATCTGTGTCCACAGAGCACAGAGCAGCCCTGTTGCATAAGTGAGGTAACATCTTTTCTACTAACGGTTTCCGTTGTTTTGGCGCCTCCACGGGGTGGTCCACACCCAAGCCCTTAGCCTCCTTCCCTTTTAGCCTGTGGAATGTGTACATTTCATTCTTTTTGAAAGCTTCAGAGAGCCCTATGCTGGCTGCTTTTGTACAGCTGTGCTGTTTTCCATGGCCACTCTGTTTGGTGAAAGAGAGGCACTCCCCCAGGGCTGCCCTAGGCACAGAGGTGATAACTTATTATTCAGAATCTGCTCTGAAGGCTGCTCAGTGGGACCAGAGAAAGGGCTGGCTTGGTGCAGGGCTGTGGTGGGTGAGGAGGAGCCACCCACAGCCAGGTGCCTGGCTCTGAGTGGGCGTCCTTGGTCCTTGTGAGAGATGACTAGCAGGCCCCCAGGCACTGAGCATTCGGACTAGTGGGGCTGGGTTGTGCATTGTCCCAGGACATCAGTCACAGAACCACTAGCCACTAGTTGGTTGCCTTGGGCAGTTCCAGTTATAAAGGTTTTGATTTTTCCAAATAGAGGTAGAAAGATCTGGCTTGGAGAATGGGGACTCTCACAGCAGAGTGTGTTGAGCCTTCTCCCCAAAGGCACAGAGCAGAACTACTTTCACCAACTAAGAGGGAGTTGTGCTCTCAGCAGCACCAGGACTCATGGTTCATGTGGAGGCTGAGGGTTATTAGAAAGCAGACCCTGACCCATCACTGGAAGGACAGTGTCTCGCTGCAGAAAGCACAGAAGTTCATGGTCCTTCATTCAGCAGGTGTTTGAATGCCAGTATGTGTTAGATCCTGTTCTACACACTGGGGCAAAAGGTGAATGGTTTTTGAAAAAGCCCTTCTCATTCTTAAGGAGCTTAAACGTGTGGGGATGGGGGAAGAAAGTACAGACAGGAATTGAACACGAATTACCCTCCACGGGCCGTAAACAACAATGAAGCAGAGTAAAGGCGATGGAGGGAGAGACCTGTGGGGGCCTGAGGGGTGCGGTTTCACTTTTGATGGCCAGAGCAGGTCTCTCTGAGAAGACACCTGAGTGAGGGGAGAGGATAAACCAAGGTGATTTGGGGGAACAGGTGACAGGTATAGCACAGATGCACAGGCCTTGGGGCAGGAAGAGCCCGGGTGGGTGTGAGGACCAACGCAGTGCACCCTGGGCTCAGATGGAGTGAGGAGACGAATACTGGGAGCATGACTGCAATCAGGAAGGATCTTCTGACTTCAAGGGCAGCCCTGGTCCATGAAACCTCCAGAGACATGAGCAACCCTGTCCCAGGCACTTCAGCTTCTGTGAGCTTAGGGGCGGGAGAGGAATTAAAACACATCTGCAGGACCATTTCGAAGATATTTTAGCCAATCGTTTCAAAGTTGACTTACGATCCAAAGGAGGTTGATTTTCAACTTTTGCTTTCATAACTCACCTAGTTTAAAAAACATACTGTGCTTACTTAGAAGAACATTCTCAGAGAATGGTCAAAAAAACACTTCTAGAGTTTGGAGAATTAAAGGTGTTGTCCCTACCTAGGGCTGTGCCTGTAAATTTCTATGATGTGGTAACTGCACAGCAGCAAGGACAGATGGCAGATGAGGCTTCTCTGATCGGCATTGTCCAACCAGTTTTCCCACGTTAGCTGCTAGAAACCATGCACTGGCTCTTCCTACAGTACTAATATCCCACTTCAAAATATAAGACAGAACGAATCCCATAGCTACATTTGTATCCCCAAAGACAAACTAGTAAAGGCAATTCTTTAGCATATAGCTGGAACATTTGCTTAATTTAAAAGGGACTATATCAACCTCATAGTTACAGGATTTCCCTCCAGTGTTGGTTCTGATAAGCTGTCCCAAATAAGCTTTTAGAAGAAACACTTTGAGCAATATTGCCTGCAAGAGTTAAGACTAACCACTCCCCCCACTCCAAAAAAAAAAGGAGCTGCTGAATGGTGTTGAATAAGGTTGAAACCTAAGGTGTTATTTATCATGCTCAGGGGATGCTGCTGCCTGCTTTGTGTTATTAAAGCATCTCTCACTGCACCCAGCAGCCCTGACAGTCACAAAGGCGGGGGGAGAGGGGGGTGGTGAATTTGGCTGCAAAAGTTTGTTACCTGCTGTGTCTGCCAACAGCTGTGTTAGCTGGCTGGGAAGACTGGGGGTGGCTGGTACCTAGAGAAATATAATTCAGAAAGCATTGTCTCACCTCCCTGGGGTGTGGAGCTGAGTGTGGGATTGGTCCTTTCCTGCTGTTGATGAAAGATCAGGAACATGGGCCTACCTCCAAAATTGTTTAGGTGAGCAAGAAAAACAAATCCCCCTGATGCCACTTTAATACATGGATTAAAATAACAAAGCCAAGTCAGAGACCCGCATTCATGAA